GTCCTTGCTTCAAAACAAACCAAAAGTCCTTGTTTGAAAAACAGGGCATGGCGTCTTTAATCCCAGCACTCGGGAGGCAGAGCCAGGCGGATCTCTGAGTTCGAGGCCAGCCTGGTCTATAGAGCGAGATCCAGGAAAGGCACCAAAACTACACAGAGAAACCCTGTCTTGAAAAATTGAAAAAAAAAAAAAAAAAGAATGAAAAACAAGGTATGGCTTAGCTTAAAAGTAATGACATTTGTCAGAGAATGAGATGGACACCTCGAGCTAACCCTAAGAGGATTTTTTTGTTTGTTTGTTTGTTTTTTTTTTTTTTTTTTTTGGTTTTTCGAGACAGGGTTTCTCTGTGTAGCTTTGCGCCTTTCCTGGAACTCACTTGGTAGCCCAGGCTGGCCTCGAACTCACAGAGATCCTCCTGGCTCTGCCTCCCGAGTGCTGGGATTTGTTTGTTTGTTTTTTGAGACACAATTTCTCTGTTGCCCTGGCTGTCCTGGAACTCGCTCAGTAGACAAGGCTGGCCTCAACACATAAAGATCCTCCTGCCTCTGCCTCCTAAATACTAGGATTAAAGGCGTGCGCCACCACTGCCCAGCCCCTAAGGTTTTTCTTATAGATTTGTGTATGTATTTGTACACTATGATCAATCAAAAGCAGGTGAGGGGGTGGGCACGGAGGCCAGAGGAGGGGGTCAGATCCCTGGTACTGGAGTTACAGGTGGTAGTGGGCTGCCTGTTGTAGGCACTGGGAAGCTTTTTTTTGTTTTTGTTTTTTGTTTGTTTTTGATTTTTGAGACAGGGTTTCTCTGTGTAGCTTTTCGCCTTTCCTGGAACTCACTTGGTAGCCCAGGCTGGCCTCGAACTCACAGAGATCTGCCTGCCTCTTCCTCCCGAGTGCTGGGATCAAAGGCGTGAGCCACCACCGCCCGGCCTGCGTTCTTAACTGTTTCAAGCAGGCCCTTCACCTCTGAAAAGATTGATTTGGCTGTGGCTCATCACAAACCCTCTCGTTTCCATCTCTGGAACCCGTAGTGGAAGGACAGAAGTACTCCCAAAGGTTATCCTCTGACCTCCATGTACACACTGTGACACATGAATATCATCCCCTGCCTTTTCACACACACGCAAGTGCACACACATCACACACACACCATAAATATTGTATGTATGTTTTAAGTGCCTTTCACTGGAGTAGGAGTGTGGCTTAGTCATAGAGAACTTCCCTAGCATTCATGAGACCCTGGGTTTGCTCCTCAAAACACCACAGATCTCCCCCTCTCTCTCTCCATCATCTTGCTCAGTGTCTAAACTGGCCTGGGCCTAGTTTAAATGAGTAAAATAAAAACTTTTTACTTTGTAAGCTGGAAAGATGACTCAGAGGTTAAGAGCACTGGCTACTCTTCCAGAGGGCCCAGGTTCAGTTCCCAGCACCCACTTGGCAGCTCACAACTGTCTGTAACTCTAGTTTCAGAGGATCCAACACCCTCACACAGACATACATGCAGACAAAACACCAATGCTCGTTAAATAAAAATAAATTAATTTAAAAAAACAAAACAAACTTTTACTTTGTAGTTTTGAAGAAAGACATTATTGTATATACACTGAGTATTACTATTCTGACACACAAACGTGCATGCATACCCAAATGCATATACATTGTACACACATATACATAATAATAAATAATAAAACTATTTTAGTATACTCCTTTAATCCCAGTTGTCAGGAAGCAGGTGGAGGAGATCTTGGTGAGTTCTAGGCCAGCCTGGTCTACATATCAAGTTCCAGGCTAGCCAGGGCTACATATAGAGCCTGTCTCAAAAAAAAAAAAGGGCAGTGGTGGCACACGCCTTTAATACCAGCATGTAGAAGCAAGCAGATCTTTGTGAGTTCGAGGCCAGCCTGGTCTACAGAGTGAGATCCAGGAAAGGCACAAAACTACACAGAGAAATCCTCTCTCGAAAAACCAAAAAAAAAAAAAAAAAGAAAGAAAGAAAAAAAATTAAAAAAAAAAACAATCTTCAGATTCAGGAAGCATGGTTGATAAACTAGTCTAATATGTCTCTGGCCTGTAATCCTGGCTAATGGTAAGATGAGGCAGGTAGATGGGCAAGTTCAAGGTCCACTTTCACTACAGAGTGAGTTGGAGACCAGTTTGGACACTGTAGTAAGATTCTGTCTAAAAAGAGAAGGGCTAAACCAGGGTAGGGGTGGGGAGGTGGCACATGCCTTTAATCCCAGCATTTGTGAGGCAGAGGCAGGTAGATCTCAGAGTTTGAGGCCAGCCTGGTCTACAGAGTGAGTTTCAAGACAGTCAGGGCTACACAGAGAAACCTTGTCTCAAAGGGCTAGTAACATATCAGCAGTGGAGTGTTTGCTTAGTGTGCACAAACAAGGCCTTGGAATAAACCCCAGGACCACAAGGAAAGACAGGAAAATGATTGATGGGCGTTTAGATGTTCCAGTGCTGAGGAAGTGCTGGGAAGGAGCCAGTTTCAGACCCCGACAGCTCCTTTAACTCTCCTCTGGGGTACAAAGGAGACACCCCTTACACCGGCTACCCGCATAGTGCTGAGCGATCTTGACATCCCTGGGGCCGTCTTTGTCTATTCATGGCCTGTGCCCGTGGCAGTCTGGAGTTACCCAGACAGAACAAAGCTGCATAGAGGGTGTACAAGGCAGTCTTGTAACAACCTTGCCCCTGTTTCTAGGGCTGAATTAGGCTTGCTTTCAGCTGCCTTTTTTATTTCAAGAAGTTGGCATTTGAGCCCCACCAAGACCACGGTGTTTTGTTTGGGTTTCCTCTGTTCTGGAGGGTCACAGAGCAGCCTCTGCTGATCTTAACCCCACAGCCCTGCAGCATCCTTTCCCCACCTTTGGAAATCTTCCCCAGTTTTCAAGGCCGGACTCAAGGCTCTAATTTCTCTAAGGAGACTTTTCTGCTCCTTATTCTAAAGAACAATATTAACATGATGGAACAGAGAGAGTAGAGGCCAGAGCTCTTTAAATACTCAGTTTGCCCCCCCCTCTCTCTCTTGCACACACACACACACACACACACACACACACACACACACACACACACAGCCCTCAGCATCAGGTCTCCCATCCATCCATTAAAAGAGAACAAGTTATTTGAGAATAAAACCCGACTGGATCTGTGAAAGCAGTAGTAAATAGTTCTTGGCACACAGGAGACAAGAAACATTCACTGTCTGTCTGTTCTTCTCTCACCAAACTGAGATAGCTTTGCCTCTGAAGAGCTCTGCCTCTGAAACAAAAAATTAAAGCACGGGAGGGTGCTTCCTTTCCAGCGGCCTTGCTTTCTAAGTAACAGAAGCGGTGTGTCTGTCCGTCCGACTCCATCCTGTGCTTTGTGGGAAGTGTGCCAATGGTGCTGGTTAAATGAACTAGGTCCTGGACCAGGTGATGGGAAGTGTGAGTCAGAACAAGACAATAGCATGTGAAAGCCAGAGCAGAGGGGCTCTGGGCACTCACTAGCTGGGGACAGTCATAGGAAGTGGGGGAGGGGGGAGACGCTTTTTACTTCTTAGTAGCCTTGGGTCTTAGGTTTGGGGGTTTTGGTTTTGGTTTGTTTTTTCGTTTTTTACATGTATTTGTGTGTGGAGAGGCTCCGTGTGCCCTGATTGGAGTGTGAAGGCCAGAGGACAAAAGGCAGATGGTTCTCTCCTTCTATCATGTGGGTCACAGGATCAAACCCGAGTCATCAACTTGGTGGCAAGTGCCTTTGCCCACTGAGCCCTCTTGCCAGCCCTGGTTTAGCAGCATTAGTTTTTGTTGAGATATGATCTTGCTGTGTAGCCCAGGCTGGTCTCAGAGATTCACAGTCCTCCTGCTTGTGCTGAAATTATAGACATGTACTATGACACCTGCCTAAAAACCTGGTTTATATTCGTTAGAAAGAGAAACAGGGCCAGGTGTGATTGCGCACGCCTTTAATCCTAGCACTCAGGAGACAGAGGCAGTTAGATTTCTTTGAGTTTGAGGCTAACCTGATCTACATACTGAGTTCCAGGTCAGCCAAGGCTGTATAGAGAAACCTTGTCTTGAAGGGAAAAAGAGAGAGAGAGAGAGAGGAACAATTAGTCATTTTAACTTACATTTTCATTTATTATATGTGCGCACATGTTTTCAGGATCGCAGGAGAGACCACCATGATCTAGGGGCTCTGCCCACATGGGAGGGCAGGCGGCTCACAGGTTAACAAAGGACAGCCAGGATGGAGCTGGCCACTGAAGTCACTTAGGACCAAGAATGCAGCAGGGCCTCAGTACAAACAAGAGTTTTAACCAGATGGGAGGATTAAAACATTTGCAGAAAGGTTTTCCAAGGTGGGAGAGATAAAAGGATTTGAATTCCTTGTCATGAAAGTGTTCCAGTATGTGATAGAAAAGGTGAATATTTAATGTTTCTTACACATGCTGTGTCTTGTGTGACAGAGGACAACTAGCAGCCTGAGCGGCAAGTGCCGTTCTCTGCAGATCAGAGCCATTGGTTTGTTTTTTTGGTTTTTTGGGGTTTTTTTTGGTTTATCGAGACAGATTTTCTCTGTGTAGCTTTGTGCCTGTCCTGGAACTCACTCTGTAGCCCAGGCTGGCCTCAAACTCACAGAGATCCACCTGCCTCTGCCTCCCAAGTGCTGGGATTAAAGGCGTGTGCCACCACCGCTCGGCCCAGAGCCATTGTTTTGAATTGATATTACTTTTAAAGCCAAAGCTTCCCTTCCCTAGAGAGATGCCGGGCTGAGGCTGTCAAGTGTTTACCAGCGGCCTTGTGGAGGGGGACACTGAGTGTGAGCAGAGCCTGATCCCTTCAGTGGGAGCTTCTGTTGTTAACTGGGCCTTATTCCACATGACTGAAATTCCCATCCTTTGCTTCCTGATACCTAGGGACTGACTGTCTTGGTTTTGTGTGCAGGTGAAGAAGCCTGGAGGTGCCGGGGCTGCGGGGTCTATGTTCCTCTGAGCCAGAGACTGTACAGGACGACCAGCGAGGCCTGGCACAGCTCCTGCTTCCGGTAAGTACTTCCGCTCTCCTTCCTTCACCACTGTACTGTGTGGCCCCTGCACAGTTTTCCGGTGCTGAAAACACAGAGACAGTTTTCCGGCTAGAGAATTTTAATCTTGGTGGGCGTGAGGGGCAGGGAGAGGATGTGCCGAGGAAGACCACCCTGCCAGGTTGAAGTGCAGGAGCCACAAACGAGCCGCGTGCAGCTGGAGGGGGAGGAGGGGTGCGCCCTCCCCTTAGGGTGTGGAAACAGGCCAGAAAGAGTGACTGTCCCCGTGGCTGCACCACTGATTGTGGAGGTGCCTCGTGGCATTTCAGGGTGGCTGGCAGTGCCATCTCTTCCCCACAGGACACCTCCCGTCACCCTTCTGCTTGTGACTGACTTTACTACATTCCCAGATTATTGTTGAGAAACCGCTCAGTTTCTTAATAACGACAGTGTCAGGGCGGGCGAGAAGACACTGGCCGCCAGGCGTTCCCCTCTGAGTTCCGTCCTTGGTGGAAGGAGAGAATCAGCTCTGGGAAGTTGCCCGTTGGCCTCTCATGCACCCCATGGCATGTGCCTCTGCACATAGACACATACACACCAACCAAACAATCTTTTTAAAAATTTCCAGCGTTAAAGCCACATTTGTCCTTGCTCTCTGGGGCTCAGTTATCTGGAAATGGAGATGTTACTAGGGACTCCAGTCTGCAGTGTGCTTTCAAGGTGAGGAGCGTAGCTTTGCAAACGAGAGTTCTAGCCCACAGTCACTCCCAATTGGTGGACCGGGGCAGGGTGGGAACGTGTCGCCTCTAGGCTCCTGTCCTGGGAATGAGATGGACGGAGACAAGAGACTCTGGTTCCCACACAAAGCTCTCTGTGCAAAGCTGGTGTTAAATAATTTAGTGGACCTTTAAACCCTTGCCTCTCTCCACCCTCCAAGTTCAAGGTGGGGGTTGGCCCGGAGAGATTTGGCCGCTGGAAGAGCTGGAGAGGGGCCAGCCTTTTCCTTCTCAGTTTGTTGGTGGTTCTGATTGCCTTGGCTCCTCCTCCCTCTGCTCCTGGGGAAGTGGATTCTGCCTTTTCTGTGCTATTTTATACACTAGAAGCAGAGATTAGCAGAGCCTTAAGGACCTGTCGGGTAAGCCTTCGGCTAACCAGTCCTTTCATTTTATAGCTGAGGCCAGCCTTGCTGTGGCATCTGATCCACACAATTACATTTGTCCCTGCTCACATTCCTACCCGTATTATTTTCTGTTCAGACCAGCAGAACGTGATAGAACAAGCTAGCCCTTGTTATTTCTTTCTTTTCTTTTTTTTCTCCGTTCGGGTGAGGGTTCGAGGCAGGGTTTTTCTGTGTAGCCCTGGCTGTCCTAGAACTTGCTCTATAGACCAGGCTGGCCTCTAACTAAAGGTATGTGCCACCACGCCTGGCTAGTCCTTGTTACTTCAGACGACTAGAAGAGACCCCCTGTTATATCTGTAGCCCCTTCACTCTGAAGATTAGAAGACTGCTCAGGGTCACAAGAGCTGGCCTTCAAACTGAGGTCCGGAACTCTTTGCAGTTTTGATCAGGTGTGTACTTGTGAGGGTGTGAGAAGAAATATATGGGTGGGGTGGCATACCTGTCAATCCAGCTCTGAGAAAATTAAGGTGGAGGATTCTGAGTTTGAGGCAAGCCTGGGCTACATAGCAATATCCTGCCTTACAAAGAAAAAAGTAAATCGTATCAGCACACAGATGACCACATAAGGCTGCAAGCTATGGAGTGGGATGGTCAAATTCTCAGTCAGAACCTTTCAAGGTGTCATCTTGCCTTAGGTAACTTCCCTGACCTTTAGAAAAGGAGGATGAGAATATTACTCACCATGGGCTGGAGAGATGCCTCAGAGGTTGAGAGCACTGGCTGCTCTTCCAGAGGTCCTGAGTTCAATTCCCAGCAACAACATGGTGACTCACAACCATCTCTAATGAGATCTGGTGCCCTCTTTTGGCGTGCAGGCATACATGGAGACAAAATGTTGTATACATAATAAATAAATCTTTTTGGGAAAAAAAAAAGAATATTACTCACCTCACAGGCTCGTTGGGGGTCATCGATTAAGTGTGATACTCTAAAGTACTCAGCAGATAATTTGCTCATAAAAAAAAGTATTAATAACCAGTAGCTGTCACCTTCTGTTATGTGGTGGGTGTGCATCTATGCACACCACAGGGGTACACTCACTTCTCTGCACATTCTTGGTCCTCTGTTGTAGTTTCTGGAGGGCATCTTTGAACTACCAGGGTGCAAAGATCTGGGGGGGGGGCGTGGAGGTAGAACATCTGCTCCTGTTGATTACTGCTTTGCTTGAAGATATCTCTGTCATTGGCCCTCCTGAAGGAGAACATCTCTCACCTCATGAACTTTGTCACGGTAGAAACGGGATGGCATGACGACCTGCTGCAGAGGATGCTCGCGTGCCCTAGGGAGGGTTGCTGTCTTTTGGATCCAACTTTACTTTTGCCCAAGTCAGAGAAAGCTCCTCAGGGCTAGAAAGGACCATTTGTTTGACCTCGGGGGCAACCTGGGCTAAGGGGAATGTGAGGCTAAGGGGCCTGAACAGTCTTTTACAATCTTTCCACCCAGCTCACCTGTGGTTCTGGTGAAGTTTAGAGTATGTGGTATGGGCCTGCTGGGGCAGGACCTTTCCCTTTGGGCCTTTGAGAGACTTCCTTCTAGCCCTGCTCTTCCCAGCTGGGCCGCAGTTAAAGAAAAGGAAGGGGCCAGACGGGGCCAGACGGTGGTGGCACACGCCTTTAATCCCAGCACTCGGGAGGCAGAGGCAGGCGGGTCTCTGTGAGTTCAAGGCCAGCCTGATCTACAGAGCCGAGATCCAGGACAGGATCTACACACACACACACACACACACACACACACACACACACACACACACACACCTTGGTCCTTGTCACTGGGTAAGGCTGAATTGAATGAACAGGTTGTCAAGGCCAGCCTGATCTACAGAGCCGAGATCCAGGACAGGATCTACACACACACACACACACACACACACACACACACACACACACACACACACCTTGGTCCTTGTCACTGGGTAAGGCTGAATTGAATGAACAGGTTGTTGGGATTGGTCCAGCCTCCACCCTCCCTCACTGGGTTCCACCTTGATCTAGGGTGACATGTGTGGCCCCACCTCCAAGAGCCTTCCCCCAGGTTCTCAGGTGCCCAGGACATCTTGAGGCTGGAACCTGGGCCTGTTCAGTGAAGTCCAGCTGGCAGGCCTCCTGGAAGTAGCTCGGGCTTTGGGCACTTGTCCAGGATTCTTCTGATCCACCAGGCACATGGCTGACCATTCCTTGTCCAACCCCCCCTCTGCCCTTCCCACCGGTCCCATTTAAACTCTGAGCACCTCTGGCCTGCCTTTCTTTGAAGAATGCTGTTGAGTCTAAATCTAGAGCTGTTCTCTCTGAAGCACCTGGCCTAGGCGCCTCCTGGGGCCGAGAGAGGAACCAGAGCACATGTCCACAGCTGAAGTTGGCATGCGGAACTATGGGTGGTGACCCGGCTGGCTTGCCTGGCTGGCTTGGTCACCTCCCCCTCTTTTTAAGACAGTCTTGTATCCCAGGTTGGCCTAGAACTTGTTGTGTGTGTGTAGTTGAGGATGACATGGAATTTCTAATCCTTTTTGCCCCCACCTGAGAGCTGGGACTACAGTATGTGATAAGTATTTTGAATCCCCGGTAATGGGTTTCTTCGCCAATGCAATAAGCTAAATTAATAAGACCTGGCTTAATCTGAGCAAAGCATTCCCAGATGATCTCAGGGGAAGAAGAGACATCGCATGGCAGATCCATGGACCCAAACTTAAATACCCTGAAGGCGAGGTCTTGAGGGGCTCTGGGGGAGGAGCTGCCGCTTGGTGGGCTTTCTTTTTTTTTGGTTTTTCGAGACAGGGTTTCTCTGTGTAGTTTTGGAGCCTGTCCTGGATCTCGCTCTGTAGACCAGGCTGGTCTTGAACTCACAGAGATCCACCTGGCTCTGCCTCCCGAGTGCTGGGATTAAAGGCATTCACCACCACCACCCGTCTTGGTAGGCTTTCTAAGAGGCAAGAGGGGCTGAGGCAGAGCTTCCAACAGAGCAGTATGTACCACCATGTCTGGCTTACGCTGTGTTAATTGAGCCAGGGTTTCCTGTGAGCTGGGCAGGTATTCTACCAACTGAGCTACATCTCTAGCCCTTTTTAAATTTTTGAGACAGAGTTTTGCAGTGACTCAGGCTGGCCTCAAAATCCTTCCTGTCTCAGTGTCCTTAGCTTTGGGTTTACAGGCATGAATACCCTCCCCAGCTCTTGGTGATTTTGTGGTTGTTGCAGTGTCGGGGATTGAACCCATGGCCTCACATACTGGGCAAGGTGTTCTACCACCGAGCTATAGCTCTGGTTCTTTTAGATTTTTTTATCTTGAGACCAAGTTGTCCAGCCTACTCTATGAGCATCTCAGGGTGGCCTCAAATTTGAGAGCCTCCTGTCTAAGTCCTTTGGAGTTCTGGGAACTCCACATCACCACAAGCTAGCGCTCTGTTTTCTGGTGATTCACCCTCATCGAAGGCGGGCAGCCTTTCAAGCAGGGTCCTGGGAAAAGGAGGAGCTGCCCTGGGAGTCTTTCATGGCCCTCATCTGAATTGCTCTTGTTTGATCTGGTTCCTAGCCGAATTAACAAAAGGAATCCACCACTCCCGGGGCCCTGGAAAGTGTCCAGCCTCCTTTCTCAGGACGACGAGGAGCACAGACTGAACTATATCCTGTGAGAAGTGTTTGACAAGGCCTGTGCTCTGGGGAAGGGCTAATGCCCCTGGAAGACCATGGTCATCTCATGAGGCAGCACATTATTTCTGCTCAGCCTGTGACTCAGGAAAGATTGGTGAAGAAATGGTACTGAGAGAATCTGAAACTGTAGGGGAACAGATGGGCTGGCCACAGGAACTTTCTGAACTGCCAAGCCATATTAATTGTGGTATCTGCTACATGTAGTGTGGCATCCTTCTTCCAGTTCTAGGAACCACAAACTAACTAACATTCCATGCCAGACACTGGCTTAGTGTTTTACAAGCATTGCCTTATTTAATCTTGGAGATAACCCAGTAAATGAATTACTTGTCTTACCTTTAAAAATAACTGCTTAGGAGTATTCATATGCACCTACAATTGCAACCTGAGAGGCTGTCTCCGGGGAACTGTGAGCTTGAGGCCAGCTGAGCTATGTATACAGTCAGACCTTGTCTTAAATTCAAAGGGCAGAACCAAGCCAGGAGTGGCCCTTCTGCCTGTCATCTGAGCACTGAGGCAGTAGGATCAGGATCGTGAATTCACGGCTACCAAGTGAGACCTGTCTCAAAATACACAGATAAACATGTCCATAGCAATAAAGCAGGGAAGTGAGAGTTACCTGCTAAAGTCGCACGGCCAGTTAGCCGCCTGTCTGGGCTCTGAACCCAGGCTTCTGCTCTGGTGTCCTGACATTGCTGAATCATGGGCACGTCATTTAGCCTCACTTCTGCTTCTGTAATGTGCACACACACTGCTAGTTCGGATAACCTTGAAGTCGTCTAGCCCTCCCAAGTGCAAGAGTCCTTGCAGTCACCTCTCGCTGCTGTGGGCCCCAGGGTGGCAGGTTGTAGAGCAACTCCGCCCCCTGCTGTTCACTGTGGGTGCTGGCTGTGCCATCTCCAGAGAGATTGTTTATCCAGTTTATCTCCGAGGAAACAAGCAGGCAGGTCACCGAAGCTGGCTGTTGGATGCCGGCTGTTGGATGCCGCCTGGAGCCTGCATGACAGGAAGGAAGGACAGACACCTGGACCTCCCTCTTCCCCATGAGACTCTGGGCTGTGGCCGTATGTGACCAGCAGTGTGCCTTGTCCTGCTCTGCTCTTTGTGACGTGAGAAGGCCCGCTGCCACTGTCCAGGCAGCATTGAAGAGGTGGAGGGGACAGGGACAGGGGTTGACATTTGTAGACGCTGTACTAAGAGCTTTCTCATCTGATTCAGCACTCACGGTCACCTCTACTTTACACTCAAACAGAAAGGTCTGGAAGAAAAGCTTGCCTCAGGTCATATAGTTGACGTGTGTGTGTGTGTGTGTGTGTGTGTGTGTGTGTGTGTGTGTGTGTGTACATGTGCGCAGAACCTCATTTATACTAAACACATGCTACCCATCCACATACCACTAAGCTACACATCCCACTTTTAAAATTAACTACTTAAATTTTTTAGACAGGCCTCATATAGCTCAGGTTGGCCTGAAACTTTTTTTTTTTTTTTAATTTGAGGGTCTCACTATGTAGCTCTGGCTGGCCTGAAATTCACTATGTGTGGATCAAGCTAGCCTTGAACTCACAGACATGGGTCTTCTGCCACCAGAGTGTTGGGATTAAAGGCATGCAGCACCATGCCCAGCAGGCCTGGCACCTTCTAGGTAGCTAAAGATGACTGACTGAATGACTGATCTTCCTGGTGTTACAGGGGTGAATAACCCTTTGTAGCTCATAGGTGACTGACATTTGAATTTAGGTCTTTCTGCTTCCCAAAAGGACCCTTTTCCCACTGGTTGTGTAGCTGGGTGGCTGGCCCCTGATGTCCTCCTCCTCCTCTTGTTCCCAGATCTCTCCTCTCCCAGATCTCTCCTTCTGTTAATTCTTTAGCCTGCCAGTCCCACCCATTCTCCAACCTCGCTATTGGCCGTTCGGCTCTTTATAGACCATCAGGTGTTCTAGACAGGCACAGTAACACAGCTTCACAGAGTTAAACAAATGCAACATCAACAAAAGTAACACCCCTTAAAATAATATTCCCCAACAGATGGACGGCACGCTCCATCACCCGCCTAAGTCACCAGTGGAGAGTCTTTGATAACTCTGCCTCGTTCTTCACGACCCAGCCCGTCAGCTTTGTCTTTTTTTTTTTTTTAAGGTATTAACTTTTCTTTCTTTCTTTCTCTCTTCCTTTTTTAGATTTAATTAGTTTTGAGACTTGGTCTCCTTATGTAGCCCTGACTGTTCTGGAACTCGCTCTGTAGACCAGGTTGTCTCTGCCTCCCAAGTGCTGGAATTAAGGGTGTCCACCACCATGCCTGGCCCAAGGTTTATTTTTATTATTTGTGTTTATATGTGTGTGTGTGTGTGCCACATGTGTGGGGATGCCGTCAGAGGCCAGACAAAGGTGTTAGATCCCTTGGAGTTGGAGTTAAAGGTGATTGTGGGACACCTGATGTGGCCCTGGGAGCTGAATGCGGGTCCTCTGGAGAAGCTGGCCATGCTCTCAGCCTCTGAGTCGTCTCCGGCCCAGGCCTCTCAGTTTTAGCCCTAGCTTATACTTTTTATGAATGTGTTCGCTGAGTTCTGTTTCTCATTCTCCCTGCCCATCCCACCCTGTCATCATCACTCACCCACAAGCTGTCAGTCTCCCCTGCCACTCTCCTACCTCCCAAGCCACTCATTCTCTCCAGAGCAGCTAGAGTGTGTGACACACAAGCTGTCTGAGGGGGAGCTCCCAACTGTCTGCAACTCCAGTCCCAGGGGATCTAACATCTGCGTCCTCCCCAGGCACCGTATTCACATGCCCATACCCACACACATAATTAAAAATAAAAAGTCCAGGCTGTGGTGACGCATACCTTTAATCCCAGCACTCGGGAGGCAGAGGCAGGTGGATCTCTGAGTTCAAGGCCAACCTGGTCTACATAGTGTGTTGTGTTCTAGGACAGCCAGAGCTGTTAGACAGAGAAACCCTGTCTCAAAATTTAAAAAAAAAAAAAAGAAAAAAGGTAAAATAAATCTTTAAAACAAAAAAAATCTGGGAACTGGAGAGATGGCTTGGAAGTTAAGAACACTTGCAGAAGCCCCTGAGTTCAGTTCCCAGCACCCACATGGTAACTCACAAACGTCTGTAACTCCGGTTCTAGGGGTTCTGGCACCCTCTGCTGGTCCTCTCTGGTACTGCACACACGTGGTACACATTCTTTCGATACACCCAACTCTCATAAACACATTTAAAAAAAATAGGGGTTGAGGATGCAGCTCAGTGGTAGAGTGTTTGCCTAGCATGCACAAGGCTCCAGTTAATCCCCAGTGTTGAAAAAAAAAATCTGCACATACTGTACTCTACTCTCTTCCACAGTGTCGTGTGTCCAGGGCCTCCTTCCCTGCTGACAAGGCTTGTATTATTCTGCCCCCTGGGCCTGGCATACCAACTCCTCCTCTTTTTGCCTAATTAGCTTCTGCTCATAGTTCAGATCTTTCCCTGGATGGCTCTGAGACCTGTCTTCCTCACCCTCGAAGAATACTGATCAGTTCCCATCAGCTTTCATTTTCCTCTGACACTTCTCTTGGAGTTTTCGATCTGTGCAATTATTTCCTTTATGATACCCTGTGACATCTCACGGTAAGGGACTTCAGGGACTGCTGGGCTTTTTGTCCCTCCTTGTGTCACCACGGACACATCGCTGGCAAAGGAAATGAGAGTCATTGAAAGAGTTGCCAGAGATGTGACGTAAGCGTGGCCTTTCCTGCACTTCCGCTTTCCCACATTCTTCCCCTAGCAGGCTGCGGTTCCCGTAGGTGGCGGGGAGGAATGGGCTCCAGACACTGGGTTTGGGGAAGTTGTTTGTGGGGTCATGTAAGAAGATAAACCTGGGCTTGGGGATTTAGCTCAGTGGTAGAGTGCTTGCCTAGCAAGCGCAAGGCCCTGGGTTCGATCCTCAGCTCAAAAAAAAAAAAAGATAAACCTTTGTCCTCTACCTTCAAAGGAACTATCCCACAGTGGGGAGCAGTGACGAGGCCCAAGGGCCTGCTCTCTGGCAGCCTTTATAGGTACGGCCCGGGCAGGAGCAAGCCCTGGGTACCCGGGACCTCTGGGAAGAAAGGCAGTGAGGAAGAATGAGTCCAGCTGCATACTTACCTAGCATGCTCAGGGCCCTGAGTTCAGTCCTTAGCATTGCAAAAATAAAACGATTTATCTGTGAAGTGTGGCACTAGCTGAAGATGGTGTTGAACATAGAGTGGAAAAACTGGGATACTTGCATGGCATCTTTTACTTATGCTGTAGCTGGTTTGTGGTGGGGATGGTAAATACATGGCAGTTCTCTAGGACCTTGAAAATGAAGTTTGTGTCTGTGAGTTAAAGATCAGCGTATGAGAGCAGCAGCATGTCGTAAAGGCTGCAGACTCCAGGAGCAAATCCTGGTTCTGCTGTCGATTGGCTGCTCACTACAGGTACTTTCTGTGTTTTGTTTTCTTACCGGCTTATTTCTGTGTCCCGTGCTCCGACTTCAGTTGTTAATTCCATCCTAGATGGAGATGCTAACTTGTGCTCTACCTGCTAGTGTTACAGTGAGGGGTGTGCAAGGGAAATACCATGCGTGGCATTGGCTCGTGCATGGCATCGGCTTGTGCGTGGCATCGGCTTGTGCGTGGCATTGGCAAGGGGCCTTGCACATTCCTCTAGTTTGCTTTATATTGCTGCCATAAACACCATGACCAAAAGCCACTTGGGTAGGAAGGGTTTATTTCATCTTACACTTCCACAGCACAGTCCATCACCTAGGGGAGTCGGGACTGGAACCTGGGTGCAGGAACTGAAACAGAGAACGTACTGGTTGGCTTCCCAGGGCTTGCTCAGCCTGCTTTCTTTTATAACCCAGGACCCACCTGCCCAGAGGTGGTCCCTCCCACATCAGTCATTAATCAAGAAAATGCTCCCACGGACTTATCCACAGGCCAGTCTGATGAAAGTATTTTGCCACTTGAGGCTCCCTCTTCCCAGATGACACCAGCTTGTGTCGAGCTGATAATAAAAATAAGTCATCCTCAGCTGCATTAGTGAGTTTGAGGCCAGCCTGTGGGTTGACACAGCTTGGATCCTAGAACTCTGACTGGGGCAACAAGGGAGTGAAGAAATGACAGACATATGTACAGGAAAGCTAGAATAGGGTGGACTGGGCTCTCGTGTGTTTATTACATAGGGGTGGACAGAGGCGATGTTATTCTATATAGCTGAACAAGGAAGTGGGGTTGTTATACACAGATGAACAAGGAGGCAGGTTTAGTTATTCTCCGTGGGAGTAGTCTCTGTAGGGGAGCTGTCTCCAGGCCATAAACATCCGGGTAGAGAAAGCTATGGTGGACATTTTCTGCACACACTGTCAACATTCATACAGGAACAGAGGATGGCATTGCCACTGCTCTGAGCCTTATTGAGGGGATGGGGACAGTGAGGCTTTGCCAATTTCCCATGGGTCTGAGGCTTTGTCCTTGAATGGCTGTCTCAAGTCAATAGCGTGTACCCACTTCGCACATCACACACTCAGGGCTTCCTTCACTGGGCTACATGAGACCCTGTCATAAAAAAACAAAACAATAAAACAAACTGGTGGTTTAAAAGAAAATAGCCCCCAAAGGGAGTGGCACTATTAAAGAGATGTGGCTTTGTTGGAGTAGGTATGGCCTTGGAGGTACTGTGTCACTGTTGAGGCAGGCTTTGAGGTCTCATATATGCTCAAGCCATGCCTAGTAAGTCAATTTACTTCCTGTTGCCTTTGGATCAAGAATGTAGGACGCTCAGCTCCAGTACTATGTCTGCCTGCATGCCACCATGTCCCACCATGACGATTATGAAACTGTAAGCCACCCCATTAAATGTTTTCTGTTATAAGAGTTGCCATGGTCATGGTGTTTCTTTATAGGAATAGAAACCCTAACTAAGACACAAACAAAAGTAAAAATGAGTAAATAAGTGGCCAGCAGCAAAACAGAAGTAAAAAGGCCGTGAAGCAGAGTCATCGACATGCCTGGATAAAGTTGCTGTAAGTGGCTTGGCTAGTTTGGCTGATTCACTACTTCCCAAGGTAAAAAAAAAAAAAAAAATCTTTCTAGGTGGTGGTGGCGGCACATGCCTTTAATCCCAACACTGGGAGGCAGAGGCAGGTGGATCTCTGTGAGTTCAAGGCCAGCCTGGTCTGCAGAATGAGTTCCAGGACAGCTACAGCTGTTACACAGAGAAACCATATCTCAAAAAACCAAACCAACCAACCAAACAAAAACCCTGTGACTGTTCTTTCCCTTATAGTCCATGCACACAAAGCAGCCCTCTGATGCCCAAGTTAGCCACGCAGTCTTTGTTTTTTTTTTTGAGCTAGGGTCTCACTGTGTTGCCCAGGCTCATTTTAAACTCTTAGGCTTGATTCAGTTGATCTTCCTGCCTCACAACATCCCGATTGGCTGGAGTTCTAATTGTGGGTACCACGATGCCCAGTGTTAAGTCCCAAAGTCCTACATGTGCAGGGGACATGGGCGTGCTGATATCACTTGTCATTGTGTAGGTAGACAGTGATGTTGATAAACTACCAAAGTGTGTCTGCACCTCTCCAGGTACGTCTGTTTCTAGACCTAAAGACCAAAACCCAGGCCCAGGTTAGGTTTATTCACCAAGATGCCAACTGTAGAGGGCTGTGGGTGGTTAGCAGCCAGCCTGCCTCCGAGTACCATGTGTCTTTTAGCATTGACCTAATGGGTGTGGAATTGTTTTCTTACCTTAATCCTTTTATCAAAGTAGAAACTGAAGCACAGTGAGGTTTAAAGGCTTGGCTGAGATCACACAGTGAGCTGTTGTTAACCAAGAAGGCCTCCGGTCTTTTCAGGACTCTGCTGGCATTGCCTTGAGATATGTTGGTATAGCAAAAGGACTTCTTCCTCCCAGTGCAATCAGAACAAGAACGTCCATGTGAAGGGAGCATTTGACATTGAATGTCAAACTTTTTTTTTTTTTTTCCCCCTTCGGTTTTTCAAGACAGAGTTTCTCTGTGTAGCTTTGGAACCTGTCCTGGAACTCATTCTGTAGCCCAGGCTGGCCTCGAACTCACAGAGATCCGCCTGCCTCTGCCTCCCGAGTGCTGGGATTAAAGGCATTCGCCACCACCACCCGGCCAAACATTTTTTTTTTTTGCTATTGTTTTATGAGGGTTTTTGTTATTATTATTATTGTTGTTGTTGTTGTTGTTTAAAATAGAGGTTAGAGAAATGGTTCAGTGGTTAAGATCACTGTGCTCTTGTGGAAGATCTGGGTTCAGCTCCTGTCTGTAACTCCAGTTCTGGGGGTTCTGACACACTCCGGACTCCATGGACATGCACACACACATGTACCTAAATATGTGTATGGGTATTTTGTCTGCGTGCATGTCTGTGCATCATGCACATGCCTGGTGCCTGCAGAGGGCAGTAAGTCTCCTGGGACTAGAGTTACAAGCATTTGTGTGCTGGGAATCAAACCCAGATCCTCTGCAAGAGCCACAAGGGATCTTAACCACTGAGCATCTCTCTGGCCCATTTCTTGTGGTGTGTTTGTTTGTTTGTTTGTTTGTTTGTTTGTTTGTAGTACTGGGAACCCACCCAAGACCTCATGGGTACTAGGCAAGCATTCCACCACTAAGCCACATCCCAGCCCCTGAATTTCCTAATATTAGCATCACAAAACAACAGTGGATGGTTATCTAGAGGGGCCACCATCTGATTCTACGTGCTCACAGCCATACAGATAGATGTCAGTGGTTAAAGTAACCAGGTTCATAGAGATGTGGCCTCAGGACAAAGGCATAGTCTACTGATGGCGAACACTTTGGCCAACAAACCTGATGTGAACCTAAAAGAGCTAGCTATAGACTTGAGCTCAAACAGCTCAGAAAAGGAGCGTTCGTTCTCCTTGGTGTTTCAGATATTATTTCCTAGCTGTTGGGAACCTCTACTTGCTTAAACGCTTCTGATAACCCTTCATTGCCTGTGAGTATCTTTAGTTGCTCAGTTGCCAGGGTCTAGTCCTTAGTGATCTAGCACTGCGCGCGCGCATGCGCGCACACACACACACACACACACACACACACACACACACACACACACACACACACACACCCGCCCTTCTATGGTCACTGCTTACGTGTGGACTACGTTGTAGCTGATGAATATGCTTAGAGTTATGTTGTTCCTTCAAGCTAGAAGTCTCTTGTCTGCCTGGCAATCAGCCTGCTATGGTCAGCTGATAGATACAGCACGTCCTCTGGAGGAACCCCACCCCATGTCCACCCCCACCAATCAGAGGAGACTTTCTTCACCCTCCTGGTTAATCTTCCTCATACTGAGCTAGAGCCCTTGTTATATTTGTTTGCACATACAGCTGAAGTCTTCAAGTAGTTTTCCAAGGGTGGAACCATATCTAATCTACCTTTGTGCCCCATGGCTAGCGAACTAGAATGGAGCAGTGTCAGAGTGGGTGCTAGGTGGGAAACGGTGTTTTAGAGAGCTTGAATAAAGTCCTTCCCATGTGCTCCCTCATCATCTCTACTGTGCAGTCTCCCCCAGGCAGGAGCTTATCTTCTGAGGTGGACAATGAAGTAAGACCTCTGTCAATAGCCAGGCAGTGGTGCACACCCTTAATCCCAGCACTCGGGAGGCAGAGGCAGACAGATCTGTGAGTTCGAGGCCATCTTGGTCTACAGGGTGAATTCTAGGACAGCCAGGGCTGCACAGAGAAACCCTGTCTCAAAACACACAAACAGACCTGTGTCTGTAATGTGATCGAGTGTTGAACCATCCAAGCCCTCCCCCCCTTTCCTGCTGTAGCAGTCCACTGCCATGTTTTTCTTCCTTCTCCCCCACCAAACATCAGGACCCCCCCTCTCTGGGTAGTGCTAGAGGCATGCTAACAAATTCTCTCTCTTTGGGGGGGGGGGCAGGAATTTGAGACAGAGTCTCTCTACATAGCCTTGGCTGTCCTGGAATTCATGTCCTGGCCTCGAACTCAGAGATCCTCCCGTCTTTGTCTCCTGAGTGCTGGGATGCAAGGCTTGTGCCACTGCACAGTTCTCTGGTTTCCTTGTCCCTCACAATCACCAAAACAGCTCCCAGCATCCCATGTCAGACTAAATTAGCGATTTTTTTCTTCTGTGTCTCTGTCATATTCTGGCTCCACCGCCTTAACAGTGTTTTAAAGCGCTTGTGATTGGATCAGAGGTCCACCATCCCACTTCCTTGGTGACAGACTCTTGAAGAAGTGACCACTGGTTTCAAAGTCAGCAGTATGCATTTGTTTGAGCTTGCATGTGTGAGCATGCGTGTGTTGCTGGAGAAGGAACCCAGGGCCTCCTGCATCCTAGAAAAGGGCTCTATCACTGAGTTACACCTGCAACTCCAGTTTGCACAGAATGTCCGTGTCTTCTAAACTCATCTTCCATACAGTGTCATTGCAAAAAGAGAGAGACAGCTACCATGGAGTTTCAGATGAATAATAACAGCGTTAGGAAGGCAGAAGTCCCCAGTAAGTTGAGGCTTAAGCAACCCTCACCCTGACAGTGACCAAGCAGCCTTCAGAATAAAATGAACCATCTGTCTGGACACTGACATTAGCGGTGAGGGAAGGATAGTGGTTATCCTGTCCACTTCCAGGGTGACAGTCAGAGGAAGTCAAAGGGCGAAACGCTTGGGAAAGAATCAAGCAGTGTTCTCAGTCTTCAGTGTGGATCAGAACTACTAGGCCTTGTGTAGAATGCAAGATCTTTCCCCCAACCTCAAAAACTATAGTGCTGTGTGCCTGGGTGGTTCCAGGGATATCTTCATTTTCCTAATGGACTCCAGGATAGCTGTTCTTTCAGCCACACCTTGAAAAATACCACTGTGATTACGAAGTAAGCACAGAATAGCTGTTTACGACAACTTCAGTGCATTGAACCTAAAATTCAGTACTCAAGTTAAAGCCTAGCCCTGCCAGTTCTCATACACGAGACTCTGGACAACTTTCTCAAGTGAAGAAAAGCCTTCATTTCTTCATATGTAAAAAGGAGGTGGCAACCCCCACCAAGATAATTTAATGGCAGGCAATATATACATGCGTGCATACCAAGCTCACCTCTTTGTCTGGCTTGTGGAACTCCATAGTGGAAAACTAAGCACCCACTACTTCTGGAGCACCCATCTTTTGCGGGGTGTGGGGTGGTGGTGGTGGTGGTGGTGGTGGTGGTGGTGGTGGTGGTGGTACTGGAGTCCAAGATGACTGTGAAATTAGGAAGGCAGATAGGGAACCCAAAATGTACAGTAGCACCCAGTTATATGATGTGTCCAAATTATTAGTGTGAGAAAATCATCCTAACACACTGAAAAGGGGCAATGAGAAAGCATCTACAGTGGTGGAAGCTGTTGGTAACGGAGAGAGACTGGAGATCATACCCAGAGGCTAATGATCGCTCCCTCAGGGTCTGTCCAGATGACAATCTTCAGTAAAATACAAACAGAAGCGGCTAACTGGCCCAGGTTTTTTTAAAAACAGGGAAAGAGAGATCCTAGAAAAAGTAAATTTATGATCTTACCGACTGAGAAAATCATCTCCACAAAAGTTCTGGGCAGATGATGGACAGGTGGGCAGTGAACACCTGGGAGAGGAGCCAGTTGCTTAGGCTCTGCAGGAAGTTGATATTTCCAGTTCTCAGGGACTTGGTGGTCATGAAAGTCTCTGTGGGTTTCCCAGGAGTTTGATACTCTTTCCTTGTACCCTCGCAATACAAATGTGGGGGAGGGGCTGGAAAACGGGACCCAGCACGCGTATCAGTGCAGGTCCTGGGTTCCAGAGGCAGGATTCCCAAATCTTTGATTGGGTCTGTGTAGGAGAAAGGCCTTGAGATTTAAGATGGGCAGACACTACTTTTACCTCAGCCCTGTACGTCCATTCATGTGAACGTTGTGGGTTTCCTGACATCTCTGAGCCGGCTTGCCCTG